ATTTCTTTCTTTTCTATAGCAAAGGTCTTATATAAAAGTTTTATTTTTATTTATAGTATTTAAAAACTTTATTTTTAAAATAATAATAATAAATTTTAATTTATTTATTTAATTAAAGTTATTAATTAATTATTATATTTTATTATTATATTAAGTTATTTTTTATATAAAACTTCAATAAATTATAAATAACAATATAATTATTAATTAAACAACAATATGATTAATTAGAAATATAATTTAAGGTAATATTGTAATATTTAAGCTTTTTATTACAACATTATTTTTAAAGACTAATTTTACTTTTGAAAAGAAAATAAACTTAATTTTAAATAAGTTTTTTTCAACATACTGTAATATTTAAAACTTATTGATAGAAAATATATAAAACATTATTATTTTATTAAAAATCAAATTTTAATTTTTAAAAAAAAGCATATTAAACTTAATAGCAAAGAACAACTAAATCTTTACATTTATAATTTAAACTAAACGCAATCATATAGATTTCTTGAAATATTTGCTATATAAAATTTTTATTTATAATTACTTATAATCAATAACCTACGTTAAGAAATAATTTTTGTTAAATATTCAAAGGAATAACTTTTAATTGTATTTGAATATATGTATTTTACCTTTATACTGAGATTTAGATTCTGGGAATATTACGCTCTACCACATCAATCAATTGAATATTTAAATAATAAATATTTCTAATTGTATTTATTAAAATCAGAAAAGTAAATTTGTTGTTACTGATCGAAAAACATAAAATAATGATATGATACTAAAGAAAGAAATTACAATGTATGGATAGTTCGTAATAAGTTGAAAGGAAAGTGAATAAGGTCAGTTCAAATAAAAATTACTTAAACTGATAATTACACAGAATAATCAATATATCGAGCAATTTTATTTCTACTGTGGTAGGTCATAGCAAATATGGGAAAAGGGATTACTTAAAAAAAAAATTTCTTTTCTCAGCACAATCCCATATATTTTTGATTATTATCTTTGAAAAATATGAATGTTCTTGTTTAGTCGAATATCAAGATTTAGATTTTCAAAATTGATGTTTGCATTTGAAATGATTAGCTGATAATCTGATCTAATATCTATTTAAATAAAAAAAAAAAACAAAAAAATACCCGCAAAATCGATTTCTACAACTCTTTCCAATTTCATCCTGTAACGGTTAATGAGACCAATATTCACAATTTTCGTAATATTATTTGGCCTTTATTATAACTGTTTAAAAAACAATGACGATGTTGGAAATATTTCAAACATTTGATGCTAACATTTTCTTACTACTTTTTAAGGTTCTTTTTTTTATAAATTATTTTATGTTTTCAAGGTAATTTTCAAAAAAAAAAAAGCCCTCACATAATATAGTCTAAAATAAAAAGGAAAAAAAAACTTCAAAAGCTGCAGTTTCTTTTGGAAAATATATTCATTATATTGACCTACAATTTTGTTGAATATAATGAAAAGAATATTTTAGGAAATGAGATGTTTCATACTATTGATCATTAAAAAGAATTTTATTTGCTACATAAATCGAAAGATCTTTTTATTCTTTTTATTACTTAAATTAAACATATTTTCATAGTCGACACATGATTATAAATACAACTGTGTAACAATACACAAATTTATGCGGATGATATCTTCAACCATATAAATTTGTACTTGTTTCTTTCCTGGTTCTCTCGAATATTTAAAACAATGTCAAAGGAAAATGATTTTCTCCATCAAGAAGGCGAAAAAGTCTTTTGTTTTCACGGGAAATTTATTTACGAGGCGAAGGTTGAGTTTTTTTTTTGATCTGCGTTATTAAAATTTTTATTTTTATTTTTTAATTAATAATGGTATGAACTTTTAGATAGTAGATACAAAGTATTATGATAATCCAAATAGGAACCCAAAAACAGGCTTGACAGGTCCACATTATCATATACATTATGCGGGATGGAAATCTTCGTAAGTTAACTTGTTTTTGATTGTTAAATAAGTGATAATAATTATTTTGTATATATATATATAGATGGGATGAATGGGTAGATGAATCAAGAGTATTAAAATATGATGAAGCAAATATTGAGAAACATAAGCAAATGATAAAGTCTCTTGAAAAGAAAAGTCCAGCAATCAAAAGAACCGTCAATGATCCATGTTCAGAAAACGGTAGGAAGAGAAGAAAAGAACAACCAAACGAAAGAGTTAGTAGTACTTTTAATTTGTCTAATTTTTTTGAGAATTTTTTTAAATAATATTTTTTCTCTGTATAATAATTTAGGAGGTAATTGTAAAAAAATCTAAACCAAAGGAGGTCTTTTCTGTTCCCGAACCTCTTAAAGCTATTTTGTACCGTGATTGGCAAAACATTCATATTGATGGAACGGTAAAAATATTTTTTATTTTATGAAATCTTTTAATTAAATCTATTGTTCTTTTTTCCTTAAAAATAATTTCTTTTAGTTAGTGCCTTTACCGAGAAAACCAACTGTTAAAGATATTATAGAGGATTATCGTTCAAATCGAACGGATTATAATCGTATTGAGGAGAACTCGTAAGACATCATACGTTATTTTTGTTACTTATTATGCATCCTTTCTGATATAAAAATTCATTTTATTTTTTAAAAGCGATGATGGAATCGGACAAGAAATTATCAGCGGTTTGCATTTTTATTTTAATAAATGCTTAGGTGTACGTTTGCTTTATAAGGGGGAAAGAAAACAATACAGAGTCACAAGACTAAAATTCGAGTATTTGGATAACTCTCAGATTTTTGGTGCTGAGCATTTACTTCGATTATTCGGTATGATTTAATTCACTATATTATAATATATTATTCTATATTAACTATTAATTCATTTTGTAGTTTCTTTTCCACAAATAATATCAGATTCATCTCTTAGCCAAGAGACTTTGAATGCTTTGAAATTGCATTTATCAGATTTCTTAAAGTAATATTTTTCACCTTTATATTCATGTTATGAAGAAAATTATTATTTATTAATAATTTTTTTTTTATAATTATTAGTTTCTTGAACGAAAATCGACATAAATATTTTCTAGAAGAATATGTAGAGATGGAAGATATGAAATAATAACTTATTTGACAATCATATTCTTTAATGCATTTTTTATTAACCTCATCAACAAAAGAAAAATTATTATCATATGCAGCAAGTTATTATAAAAAAATTTTTTTTACAAATTAACAATTACAAAATAAAGTTAATTTATATGAAATCGAGATAATAAAATTTATTAAGTACATTTCTCTGCGAACATTTTGTTTGCAACGTAATAATTACTAAAAATTATCAATAGATTTAGAATAATTTTCTTAATTTTGTGTTTAATTCATATTTATATTCTTTTACTTGGAAATTTAAGTTTCGTTAAAAGAAAACTAAGTGCATTTTCAACTAAGGTAGTTTACATCTTAAATTTAAGTTATATAGATTTTATTCAGGATTTATTTTTTTATTTATTTTATTTTATTTTTGGTTGTATAAAATTAATTTCAAATTGTAAAAATAAAATTACATTTTTGAATTACATATTGAAAAGGGTGGTATTTTTTTCCTTTCTTAGGATAGGATTAGAAAATTTTCAAGGTTAGTGAACAAGCATACATATAATTGACCCGAAATTCCGATATCCGAATTAAAGATGATCTTTTCGGTATACTGTATTTCCAAAATTTGATAAATTTGATTTAAAATAATTTATCAAGAAAATCATTTAACAAACAAAAACAATAAAAAAAAAAAATTACAAATAGAAGTTGTAATTGAATTTTCATTGGGAATTAGAAGAAATTGGAATGTTCGATGCTTTGTAATCTTTTAGTTATGATTTCTTTTCGAATGTTACAAAATTCTCAATTAGAGTTTCGAGGCTTAAATTTATATGTAGCAAAAGTGGTCGAACAAATCTTTACTTCCTCTCCTCGGAATTGTTCTTCAAGTCTCATTGTGATTATACATTTTAAATTGCGACTCCGTCACAATGCAAGAAGAAAACTATATTTGTTTGAAAGTAAGGATAGTAGTATCAACAACATCAACAACTATGAAAATCCTTCGTCACAGTATTTAGTTTCGCCGCAAATTGAATAATGATGTAGAATCTACATTCAATTCCTTTAAATCTTTAGTTTTTCGGGATCAAACGTAGAGCCATTTCTATTCTCTTACGTAAAATGTATCCTATGAAATAACGATATTAATTAGAGCAACAATTTTTTTAAAGAAAAATCCAACAAATCCAACGAATTAATTTAAGATCGCGATATGCTTGCACTTCACCATATTTAGTTTGACCTATAACTGTTTCTCCCAGACACCACGTTAGAAAGCAAGCCTTGTCCAGGTCAAAAATATTTTTTGATAGATTATCAGAACGTCAATGATCAGCAACAATATTTCGTGTTGATGATAACCAAATATTAAAAAGGATACTCAAGTATATCAAAATTATAAAAACATAAAATAAAGCCTTGATAATCAGTATATCAAAAACAACAGGCAAGTTAAAATGAAGCTCTTAAATTCTCAATATAATGACCTTCAAAGTTAGACTTCAAAGACCACCTCACCCGCTTTAATAATTTTCTTCACAGGAAAACATGGGTATATAGCAATCATTTATGGTATTAAATGTATGGTTTGTATAGGTTTTCTAAAATTTCGGAAATTTTATACAAAATAGCTTTGCATCAAAAATAAACCAACGTTCAAATTTTATCTATTAAAAAGTAATTAACCGAATAATAAAATTTTTAAAATTTTAATTCGATTAATTAAATTCTTCTATTTGATAAATGCAAAAATTTTAATTTTATTACCGGTATGGAAAAACCATACATAAATGATTGGAACTATACATTCCATACATAATAATCATACCATACATGATTTAATAACACCGGAAACCGTTTATTATAACGCCGCGGACAAACACCCGATAACTCGGTATAATGACCTCCAAAGTTAAACTTCAAAGACCAGTAGTCTATCATTACCCGCTTTTGACAATGTCTCCACAGGAAATAAAGCTGGATAGACTGGAAACCAGATTATTTGGCTACAAGAAAAAGCTTCTTTGTCGGAGTATAATATGTTATGTCCAAAATAGTTAAATCCTAATGTTGTTTTTTTTATTTGATTGTAATAAATTTACTATACGTTATAGACTTTGTTGGTGGTCGATTGCTCGCATGTATTTTTAAGACAGGTAAAGACGACAAAAAAAAAAGAATAGAATAACTCGGAAACCTTCGGTAGATAGTCTTCGTTTATTTTATTTTATTTTTTTTTTTAAAAAAAAAGTATAAGACTTTGATTCGACAAGTAAATAAGAAAAATGGACTTAAATACTTTCGGTGTTAAAAACTTTCAGTTCCGTGGGAAGTTGGCAAAAAAGGGTTTGTTATGACGGAAGGTCACATGCCATTTTGATCATGTTGATCAATTATAGGACGTTCATTCCGTGTCTAATACATTAATTTACGAAGTCCAAATTTCAACTTTAAATTCTAGAAAGAAGTAACACAAAAGAAAGGCAGTGCAACTATTTAGTATTAAATTCACCTATTTTAAGGTATGATAGACAGTTTTGGGCAAATCCGATAAAACTTCCGACACCCTGAATACAAGCAACTGCCGCGAATCTCAAATATTGTGAAAAAGCGGACATCTTGTATAACATTAAGTGTTAAAATCGCTCTTGTCATTATTAATTTCCTCTTCCAGCCCACACCAATGCATGTCATTTGAACTTGTAATTGCTGAAGACTGAAAGTCTCGAAAAAGTTGTGGAAGACGATTTGGGCAAAAGAACTTAAATGATGGAAACAACACTAATGAACACCAACGCACAAAAAACCGTCAAGCATGGAGCTGCGAAGTTAATCATCATTCTTTTTTTTTTACTTTGCAATTCTTACATGCTTTTAATTCTTACTTGACTGTCATAGTTGAAATAACTTCATCATATGAAAATGGGATTTTCGAATATACGTTAGCAAATAAATAAAATTACAAATTTTTAATTCAAATATCGCAAATATCGAAAATGATTGAGTATATAATTATTTCATGTTTGATATTCGTTTGATATTTTTCTATTCAAGTATTGAAAAAATATCTAACTTCGTTAGCTATAATATTCTTTATAGTGACCAATAGTTGGAGAGTAATGGCAATACTTCGGATTTTTCTAGATTAGAACTGATATAATAGACCGTAGATGAACGTTTTATAATTATTTTGATTCTTCAGATACCCATAAACCCTTGGACTTAGTCCTTACCGTCATATCAAATCGTATCAAAAGATTATCAACATCTACACAATGGCAAGGTAATTTTCGGATTTCTGACAAGATTATTCATACTAGGAAATTATTTTGAAATTTTTCTTTTAGAGATGATGGTAGTAGTTCTCAGGATTCTCTGTTTATCTAATATTTGCACCAGACGAATATACTGTCATTTGTACTATTGCCCAAATTTAAAATTGAGGTAAAACGTGATGTTTCAAGTCGACCATTTCTCTAATTTAATCATTTATATAATTTTAATTTTAAAATTATAAAATCAAATGTTATTTTTTTAGTTGTATAAATTAAAAAATTAATATTTTGTATTCAATAAATTTAATTTAAATTAAAAATAATGAAATTTATTTTTAAAATTATTTAATTATTTACTAGTTATATAATATTTTTTACTTTATAAATAAAATTATTGTTATTATTTACTAAATAATTTAAATAATATTTTATGTAAATTTGTTAGAAAGTAATTTTCTTTATTTAATATGGCTAACACTCTCTATAGTTACACCTCTCAAGACTAAAAAAATGATATGATTATAAAAATACTATATAATGTAACTAAAGAGAGGTTTTTTTAATAAGTTTAGTAATATAGGCTAATTTAAGTATGCTTATAAAGGAAGTGGGATTATATATAAATATGACTATAGAGAGGATCAATTGTATTTAATTAAAATATAAAAGCTATTTTTGAAATTAATTATTATTCATTATTCTTTTTACTATTATAAAGAATAAATTTCAGGATTTTGATATTCTTTATCAGGATGGCATTTATCATTATAAGCTAAATTTTCTTTTTTTTATAAGAACATTTTATTATATTACAAATATTAGAATATTTGCATTTAATTAACTTTCTATTTAAAGTATTATTTTGCAATCTAACTACTTTTGTAACTATTACTGTTTTATTAGAAATATCTGTTAATTCAGTCATTAATTCTAATTTAGTTAGTTCTAAATTTTTCCTTAATAATTTATATTTAATTTTCCTTCAGAACATCATAATTCATAAAAATCTTTAATTTTGCTTTATTTAATTTTGAAATTTTTAAATTAATAATCTCAATTTTATATGGTTTCTTTTTTAATTTTTTTCTATCAAATTTTTCATATTTTTTTTATATTGTTGATATTATTATATTATTACATATTTGATCATAAGAAGAAGATAATTCATCATTATTAAATAAATTAATAAATTTATTAGCAGATTATAAATTATTTTCATTATCAAATAATAAATTATCTTCATTAAAGATAATCCCATAATTATTTTTAAATTTTAATTAAATTACAACTAAGATTGCTTATCTAAACTCATTTTGGATTTAACAAAATATCTAAACTATAGATTTACTAATTTTTTACTAAGGTTTTAATATAGTTTCGCATTTTTATAAGCTTTGATATAGTTTTACCTTTTCAGAATTTTGCAGATTTTTTAATAAGGTTTTAATATAATTTTACTAAATTTTATCTTTTTCCATTTAGATGACTTGACAAAACCTTTAGGTTTCATCTAGCAACCTTAGTTGCAACTTAATTATACCATAAGAATATTTAATTATATCATAAGTTGTAACTCAATTATGTTATTTTTTTAATTGTGATACTTATCTTTAATCTTCATTATCAAATATTTGATTCAGTTTTATTATTTGATATAAATTTTAAAGAATCAATCTAAAATATTAATTAATTAATTTATATTATAAAAAAATAAAATTATTAATTAAACTTACTTGTAAATTATTATTTTAATTTATTTATTCTAGTATATTAAGCTATTTAAAAACTTTTATTCTTAAACATTTAATAAAATATTATCAAATTATTTTATAATATGTAATTTTCAAGCTATTTGAATTTCTTTAAGTACATCTAGTTTAAGTTTTTATTATATCTAAATAAACCTTTTTATAATAATTTAATTTATCCTAAAAAATATTTAATTTGAACTTATTTTAATTCAAATAATATATTGAAATCAGCTTTAAGTATTTTTTTAAATTTTAGTTGCTTTAATAATTAAATTTAAGAATATATATTAAAATAAATGATTTAAATAATAATATATAAAATTTAAATTAATTTATTATTTTTTTTTTTGTAGTATTAATTTCATTATTATTATCAGAATTTGAATTAAATGAAATATCTAAACTTTCTTATTTTTATTTGTCTTTATTTTTAAAATTTTTAGTTGATTATATTTAAGGTTATTTATCTAAACTATTTTAAATTTGACAAAATATCTAAACTATAATTTTATTAAATTTTACTAGGATTTTAATTAAAGATGGTCACCGCAATTAAAAAAAATGGCGCAATTGAGTTGCAACTTGTGGCGCAATTAAATTTCCTTATGGCGCAATTAAGTTGCAACTCAATTGAAATTTGAAAATAATTATGGGGACCATCTTTAATTTTAATATAATTTCACATTTTTATAAGCTTTGATATAGTTTACCTTTTCAGAATTTTGCAGATTTTTTAATAAGATTTTAATATAATTTTACTAAATTTTATCTTTTTCTATTTAGATAACTTGCAAAACCTTTAGATTTCATTTAGTTACCTTAATTATATCTTATTTATATTTACTATAATATTTTTATCAATAATCTTTCAAATTTATTGTTAGATTTATTATTTTATTTCTATATAAATTTAAAATAATTTTTAAATTTATAAAATATTTATTATACTTACTTAATTAAAGTTATATGAAATATCTTTTGTTTAATATTAATATTATCTGACAATTATTTTTTATTAATACAATTTTTATCTTAAAATAAATATTTTATTTATATTTTATTATTATAAGAATGTATTCTAAATACTATTTCATATAGTATTTTATTAGTAGCTTAATATATAGTATTATTTATAATAAAAAAATATAATTTAACATTAAGTCTAATTTGTTAAATAATTTTGTTTCAATTATTTTCTCTAAAATAGAATTTTTTCTTTCAATTAAATCTTATAATTATGAATATCTAGGCCTACTATTTATTATCTTTAAGCTAAGTTATAATTATTAATAATATTAGCAGTAAGCTCTTTGCTATTATTACTTTATAAAATAATTAAAAGATCAAAATAACAAACAATTTTATATAATATTCCTGCAATAACTATAAATTCTTTAAAAATTAATAGTTTTGTTTATAAATATTATGAAAAATAGTCTCTTATATGTAAAATGTATTTAAAATCATTATCAGAATATTAAAATTAATCAATTAAATTTATTTAATAAAATTATAAATTAAATTTAAATAATAAGCAAATATATTAATTAAAAAATTATTATAATTCAAATACCTATAATTTTAAAAGAAATCTTTTTATAACTATAGATTTACTGATAAATTAAATTTAGATATAATTTACGTAAAATATATATTTTATAATAATTTATAAATTTTTCTACAATTTTTTTTTACTCTAAACTATTTACTTTTTAATTTGCTATACAAGATTTTTTAACTATAATGAAGGTTTTAAATATATTTTAAACTAATTACTTTATACATTTTTTTTACAATTAATATTGATAATATCTCAATTATTTTACTTTCTTTAATTAAAACTTCTTTTATTCTATTATTAAGATTTTTACAGATCCTAAAATTTCTTATATAATTCAGATTAAAGTTTGAATAGGGTTATATATAAATTCTAATTAAAATTATATATTATATTAAACTTTTAAAATTTTGATTTTGTATAAAATAGATCTATTTCAATTTAAAATTAGAGTAGATCATAATTTAAGATATAATATATTCATCAAATTTAAAATACAAATTTTAAAAACTAAATATAGTCAATTCTTATTATAATGAACCTTATGTCTTAGACTCAACTCTATTATAAGGCTATAGCGAAGATTTTAAGAGATTTGATTAGCTAATTTGATATAACAAGAGAATTTTATTATATTTATTCAAAAAATTCATTATATCAAGAGTTTGCTATATTAAGAGTTGACTGTATATTCTTTATTTTTGATTATATTTTATTAAAATAATTTAATTAAATTATTTTATTTTACAAAAGCTAATTATTTTTATATTTAATTATAAAAAATTAGTTATTAATAACATTATAAGAATTTTATATTTAAAAATGATTTATATTAAACTTTACTTGATCTTTAAGTTTAAATATATAAATGATATTCTAAAATATTAAAATCTAATATTCAATTATCGATATCTATTATTATATATAAAAATTAATATTATTTCTGTTTAAATTATTAAATTGCAATCATAAATTTTAATAATATTATTATCTTTTAATTGTAATGAATTAGAAATATCTGATTCAATTAATTGAGAATCTTGAAAATCTGTTAAAATACATTGAAATTAATAATTTTTATTAAAAATAAAAAAGCCAAGTATATAATACCTTTATTATTCTCACCCTTTTTAAGATATGAGATGATAAATTTTTAAATGAAAATGCTCTACTTATATATATAGTATCAGGATTCATTTTACTTGAAATTAAAATATTTGGTATCTCTTTATTTGCCTCTTCAAATGCTTTCTTTATTTCTTTTCCATAATATTCATATTTTTTTTTATTTTTATACCTCTTATATTGAAAAATAGAATTATACCAAAAATTTATTGTATTATATAATTCTTTAGTTATTGGTCTTTGCATTTATACATTTATAAGCTAATATCTTATAAAACTCAGGAGTCTCATTTTCAAATTCTGGACGAATTCCATTACAAATATTTAAAGATAATTTATAATCATACTTCCTATTATAAAATGGAGGATTTCTGGATAATAATTCAGCCATAATTATACCAAAACTGTAAATATCAGAAGATTTAGTATATAATCCTCCATTCAAAACTTCTGGTGCAATATGTATTAGTTATTCCATGGGGATCAATGGATATTATTGATTTTTACAGCGCAGCTGTGAAAATATCAATGATATCCATGTGATCACCGTGGAATAACTTTTTTATCTCCTGGGGACTAACGTTTGTGATAAAAAATTTTAGTTTATTAATAGTTTATTTTATTTAGCTATGAAAAGTTTATTTCATTATAAAATATTATTTTGCTATAAAATTCCCA